TAGCATAGTGCCTAAGGCACTTGACTGTTAACCAGAAGGCTGGAGGTTCAAACCCACCAGCCACTCCTCGGAAGGAAGGTTGGGCAATCTACTTCTGTAGCGATACTGCCTGGACAACCCAAGGAGGGGTCACTGTGAGTTGGGTCCGACTCGATGGCACATAACAACAACAACAGGATACAGTTGTAAAAGCCCCATTAAGTTTATGCCAACCACTATATCACTCTTTGTATCCCTACTACCATTGCCATCAACTTTTGATCTTTAAACATTATTTTATACAAAGCCTTTCAAACCTTAGCCATGGTCTTCAGCTCCACCTCAATTCACACCATCAATTTTGGGACTTCATTAGACCAAGGAGGTCTACAGCTAACATTCTGGACTCACATATCCTTGACTTCCTCAGAGCCAAGTCTAGTCTACCACCTTAGCCTCCTCAACCTACCTCAGCACATCCAAGGCCTCTCCCTGCACTGTCACCATTAGAAATTGCCCCTTTCTGAAATCACTGATTCAAACAGCCCATGCTGACCACCTCTTGCCATACCTCCAACTATCAGTGGGTATCTTCTTTTGGCTGTCTCATAAACACCTCCAACTCAAAATGACAGAAAAGTGAGAGCAGTCAGAAGGTCATGGATGTAAACCATTTAATAGAATTTGCTGATGGTAGCAGCATGAGACACCTTTAGCTGTGAGCTGTTTTTGGGCTGGAAGAAGCTGTGAGAACTCCAGTTTGGCTCTGGGACAGGGACATCACCAGCTCTTCTTTCACTGAGGCCTCTCATCAACTCCATCATTGTTGTCATCATCAAAGAGATGGCTGAGCTCTGGGTTGCTGTCCACTGCCTTTCTCACGTGTTCTGGGGTGATGCGTATCCTTTGGTTGTTTTGGGCCTCCTTCCCCGCCAGCTCCAGAATGTTAGCTGCCACGTACTCAAGAATGCCAGCAAGAAATATAGGTGTGCACCAACTCAGACGCTGGACATTGTTTCCTTCCCTCAGGAGACGATCCACTCGACTCACAGAAAACTGCAGCTCTGCTCTTGTAGAGCGTGAGATAGATGGTCTTCTACACCTACAGGAGCTGAGATAGCTTCTTTTCCCACACATGATGTTTTCTGGGTTTGGCTTTAATCAGACCAGCTTGTCCTGTAGGCCAGGGCCTATCAAAACACCCGTGTTCATTCCCTCCCACTCATTGGTCAGGAAGCTGCCTTTGTGACACCCAGACATTGTGATGTTATTGGTATACTCTGGTCCTGATCAGTGACCAGTTACCACATCTAGTCACCTTGATGACTGGATCCCTCTTTTTGTGTGAACTTTAACTTTCTGCTTGACTTTAACATTATAGGGAAAAATAATATGTGTGTTTTAATGGGAACATTGTTCTGCCTAGTGGCCACCATTCTAAGTTATCTGATTCTAGTCTTCTGTTGTCATATCATTTAGAAGCCTTTGTAAGTTGTAGGTCACAGACAGACATGCACAATGTCTTGTCCATAGAGGTTCAATTGTCTCCTATCTCACACTGCAATAAAACCAGTGTTATCTCCATTAACCTATTCATTTTAATATTCCTGATCAATAAGCCTGTATCTGATCTTTGGATTCTCTTTTGAACTTGTTTTAATATCTACCAATTCCATCATGAGTTAAATAGAATCATTTAACCCAAGTTGATTTCATATCTGTATGAACATCATGAACTTACCCTGATTGAAAAATATCTTTTCACCAATTTATACATCATAGCAACACGCCCAGGCATTCACCTAGTAGAGCCAAGCAAACATTGATGACAGAGAAGTGCATCACATACATGCTTTGTTGATTCTGTTTTTCTAATTTTGGTTTTATTTTCTACCAATTTAGTGTTTCTACCTTGTTTTCCATTCTTTTCTATCTGATAAGATATTTCCCATTGTTGACAGTGATATTTGGGATATATATATTTTTTAATTAAGGAAAAATCTACACAACATAAAATCAATCATTTTAGTCATTTCAAAGTATACAATTCAGTGGGCTTTTTAGTATATTCACAATGTTATGCAATTAGTTCACTATCAAATACCAGAATATTTTATCACACCCAAAAGAATCTCTATTCCTGCCTGATGGAACCACTGAGACTACGGCCCCTAGTTGCTCTTCAGATCTGGAATTGAATCCGCTCCTATGGGTTCCAGCCAAATAAAAGACAGGCATATGAGCTGAACATTTACATTAGGTAGATACACCTTTCAGAGAGATCAATCATGACAGAATAGAAGAGCTGTGTATGCACAGGGAGATAGCTTGGGGGTTAGGAGTGCATGGGAGGGAAGGACACAGGAAAGAGGTAACTATGGGAAGGAAGTGGGAGGGGAGTTGTTGCATTGTGGGGAATTGCAGTCAATGCTATGAGACAAAGTGTATGTGAGCTGATGTACGGAAAGTGAATTTGCTCTGTAAACTTTCACCTAAATCACAATAAAAATTAAAAAAAAAAGAAAGAAAAGAAAAGAAAAAGAATCTCTATTCCCCCTTTTCCTTCCCCATCAGTCCTTGGCAAGAATTAATCTACTTTCTCTCTTTATGGATTTCCCTATTGTAGACACTTTATATAAATGGAATCATGTAATATGTGGCCTTTTGTCTGGCTTCTTTGACTTATCTTAATTTTTTTTTTAAGATTCTTCCATGTTATAGCATGTATCAGGACTTCATTAATTTTTATAGCTGAATAATATTCCAATGTATACCACATTTTGTCTATCCATTCATCAGTTGAAGGATATCTGTGTTATTTCCATTGTTTAGCTATTATCGATAACACTGTTTCATAGTACTTTAAGATATTTTTGTATAAACTTATGTTTTAGTGCCTAAGGCAGTTTACTGCTAACCAGAAGGCTGGCGGTTCAAACCCACCAGCCACTCCTCAGAAGGAAGATTGGGCAATCTACTTCCGTAGTGATACTGCCTCTCAAACCCAAGGAGGGGTCTCTATTAGTCAGATCTGACTCGACAGCAGTGAGTTTAGTTTGGCTTAGATATACCTAGGAATGGAATTACTGGGTCATCTGGTAGGAAATTGGTTTTATGATCTGACCATTTGATGATCTCTCCAAATGGATTAGTGGTTTATAGAGATCTAGTCTCTGTTGGGTGGAAGGCAAAAGAGAATCTTGTTAGTTTTCCATCTCTTTTTGAGCTCAAATCAATGAAAACTCCTTGCTCTATAAGCTCTACTTCTCTCTGTATGTCTATGCATCTGTCAGAAATGCCTTCTCCTCAATGGGCTCAGGTATAGCAAGATAGCAAGGATAGTGAGGCTGGCACAGGACCAGGCAGTGTTTCATTCTGTTATGCATAGTGTCACTACGAGTTGGAGCCAACTCAGTGGCACCTAACAATTACTGGTTGTGTGAGTCTGCAAAGTTTTCCTTTCCCTGGATGTTGTCAATATATTAAATTATAAAATCTCTTAAATTAAAGGACCTCTGTCTTGACTGACGTATATAGAGCAACACTTGCTTATATAAGTTTAATATTCCAATGCACTTCCTATTACATCTATTATGCTGGCTGCGTCCTCCACTCATGAACCTTCTGCTGAAGTACCTCTCGGTTGGATTCTCCATCCACCGAACACTACGTGCCAGATCCTCCTTTATGCTCACTGGTCCTTCTGACAATGCTTCACTTGCTCTGTGACTTCACTTCGTTGCAGTTTTGGGGAACTCCTCTGTGTCATGTTTCCAACCCATCTCCAATCACACCAGGGCACTAATTGCACATTCTTTGTCTAGGACACCACTGCACTCTTGGGGCTGTTCACATACCTTGTCCATTTTCTCCACTGCACTGATTTTTGGACAGCTCCTCTGTTTTGCCTTTTTTACATCCTTGTAACACATGTGGTATATCTTCTCTTTTTACTTGGCACAACTCTTGTTGAGCTACCTCAATCAGCTGATTGCGTGCAGATTCTCCTAGTTGCCAATTTCTCACCTCCTGGTGGTTCAGTGGTTAGAGTATTTGACTGCTAACCAAAAGGTCAGCAGTTCAAACCCACCAGCCACTCCGTGGGACAGAGGATGAGGTAGTCTGCTTC